GTTGGGAGAGCGTCAGATTGAAGATCTGAAGGTCCCTGTGTCAATCCCGGGGTTTCGGCAATTATAAAAGACGTGCTATTTTGATCATAGCATCATGATAGCACCTTTGAAGAAACCGCTGCCTCCAAGAAGCCCAAGCTCATTAATGCTGCTTGGCCAGTTTGTGGCAGTAATCATCTGGAAAAACACAGCCACCAGTGCGCGCCTGGTTCCATGGTGTAATGGTTAGCACTCTGGACTCTGAATCCAGTGATCTGAGTTCAAATCTCAGTGGAACCTACCATGAGTTTACAATGGTGTCTTAATGAAACTTGACAAACTGTCTCAACAGAAGCTTTGCTTGCAAAAGTCTAGTTTCCCTGAAATTTTTAACATTTTACAATTCTCTTCTTTGCTTTATTAGTCTGAACATTAGTCTGGAGCTCTGATGGTGGCAGGTTCCTGCTTGCTCTAAGAAGAAAATTCCAGTCGAGATGTAAATGGACCTTTTCTGATTTTTGTTGGATACTGTACTGATTTTGTGTGCATTGCCCAAAGCAACTCACTTGGGAGAAATTGAATCCATGGATCCGACATCAAATATCAGTGGAACCTAGAAAAACTAAAGTTCAAATGAGTTCAAATCTCATTGGAACCTACCACTAGCTGACAATGATGTTTCTATGAAAGTAGACAAACTGTCTAAACAGAAGCTTAGCGTTGCAAAAGACTAGTTCAATTGTCCCAGACAAATGATAATGTGAATATGGTACAGTTCAGTTTTTTTGCTTTATATACTAGTGATTTTGTGTGCAATGGCCAAACAAACGCACTTTGGGAACTTTGAATCCAGTGATCCCATTTCACATCTCTTGTAAAGATGATTCTGTTGCCAATTCTCCTGAATGTGATCTGGGGCCAAGTCTGAATACTTTGGTCAATGATTTTGAGCCCACATTTGATTTTCCTGAAATAACATGGATGGGGAACATTAGTCTAGAGGTCTGACGGTGGTGGGTCGCTGGTTGCTATATGAAGAAAATTCCTTTCAAGATGTAAATGGACCTTTTCTGATTTTTGTTGGATACAGTACTGATTTTGTGTGCATTGCCCAATACAACTCAGTTGGGAGATTGAATCCATTAATCCGATAACAAATACAAGTGGAACCTAGAAAAACTAAAAGGAAAAAAAGGGGAAAATTTTATTCATGAGAGTTTTTCCAACTTTTTGCTCAACAACATGTAAAAAGATTTCACTGTAGCAGCAGGTGTCCGGAAATAGCTCAGTTGGGAAGGGCGAGATTGAAGATCTGAAGGTCCCTGTCTCAATCCCGGTTTCGGCAATTATAAAAGACGTGCCATTTTGATCATAGCATCATGATAGCACCTTTGAAGAAACCGCTGCCTCCAAGAAGCCCAAGCTCGGCCAGTTTGTGGCAGTAATCATCTGGAAAAAACACAGCCACCAGTGCAGCCTGGTTCCATGGCGTAATGGTTAGCACTCTGGACTCTGAACCCAGTGATCTGAGTTCAAATCTCAGTGGAACCTACCATGAGTTTACAATGGTGTCTTAATGAAATTTGACAAACTGTCTCAACAGAAGCTTTGCTTGCAAAAGTCTAGTTTCCCTGACCTTATTAACATTTTACAATTCTCTTCTTTGCTTTATTAGTCTGAACATTAGTCTGGAGCTCTGATGGTGGCAGGTTCCTGCTTGCTCTAAGAAGAAAATTCCAGTCGAGATGTAAATGGACCTTTTCTGATTTTTGTTGGATACTGTACTGATTTTGTGTGCATTGCCCAAAGCAACTCACTTGGGAGAAATTGAATCCATGGATCCGACATCAAATATCAGTGGAACCTAGAAAAAACTAAAGTTCAAATGAGTTCAAATCTCATTGGAACCTACCACTAGCTGACAATGATGTTTCTATGAAAGTAGACAAACTGTCTAAACAGAAGCTTAGCGTTGCAAAAGACTAGTTCAATTGTCCCAGACAAATGATAATGTGAATATGGTACAGTTCAGTTTTTTTGCTTTATATACTAGTGATTTTGTGTGCAATGGCCAAACAAACGCACTTTGGGAACTTTGAATCCAGTGATCCCATTTCACATCTCTTGTAAAGATGATTCTGTTGCCAATTCTCCTGAATGTGATCTGGGGCCAAGTCTGAATACTTTGGTCAATGATTTTGAGCCCACATTTGATTTTCCTGAAATAACATGGATGGGGAACATTAGTCTAGAGGTCTGACGGTGGCAGGTTCCTGGTTGCTATATGAAGAAAATTCCTTTCAAGATGTAACTGGACCTTTTCTGATTTTTGTTGGATACAGTACTGATTTTGTGTGCATTGCCCAATACAACTCAGTTGGGAGATTGAATCCATTAATCCGATAACAAATACAAGTGGAACCTAGAAAAACTAAAAGGAAAAAAAGGAAAAATTCTATTCATGAGAGTTTTTCAAAATTTTTGGCTCAACATGTAAGATTTCACTGTAGCAAGCTGCGAAATAGCTCAGTGGTGAGAGCGTTAGATTGAAGATCTGAAGGTCCCGTGTCAATCCCGGGTTTCGGCAATTATAAAAGACGTGCTATTTTGATCATAGCATCATGATAGCACCTTTGAAGAAACCGCTGCCCCAAGCAGCTCTAAGCTCATTAATTTGCCAGTTTTGTTTGGCAGTAATCATCTGAAAAAACAGCCACCAATGCAGCCCTGGTTCCATGGTGTAATGGTTAGCACTCTGGACTCTGAATCCAGTGATCTGAGTTCAAATCTCAGTGGAACCTACCATGAGTTTACAATGGTGTCTTAATGAAACTTGACAAACTGTCTCAACAGAAGCTTTCCTTGCAAAAGTAATAGGTCTTGCATTCCTTATTAACATTTTACAATTCTCTTCTTTGCTTTATTAGTCTGAACATTAGTCTGGATCTCTGATGGTGGCAGGTTCCTGCTTGCTCTAAGAAGAAAATTCCAGTCGAGATGTAAATGGACCTTTTCTGATTTTTGTTGGATACTGTACTGATTTTGTGTGCATTGCCCAAAGCAACTCACTTGGGAGAAATTGAATCCATGGATCTGACATCAAATATCAGTGGAACCTAGAAAAAACTAAAGTTCAAATGAGTTCAAATCTCATTGGAACCTACCACTAGCTGACAATGATGTTTCTATGAAAGCGGACAAACTGTCTAAACAAAAGCTTAGCGTTGCAAAAGGCTAGTTCAATTGTCCCAGACAAATGATAATGTGAATATGGTACAGTTCAGTTTTTTTGCTTTATATACTAGTGATTTTGTGTGCAATGGCCAAACAAACGCACTTTGGGAACTTTGAATCCAGTGATCCCATTTCACATCTCTTGTAAAGATGATTCTGTTGCCAATTCTCCTGAATGTGATCTGGGGCCAAGTCTGAATACTTTGGTCAATGATTTTGAGCCCACATTTGATTTTCCTGAAATAACATGGCTGGGGAACATTAGTCTAGAGGTCTGACGGCGCAGGTTCCTGGTTGCTATATGAAGAAAATTCCTTTCAAGATGTAACTGGAACTTTTCTGATTTTTATTGGATACAGTACTGATTTTGTGTGCATTGCCCAATACAACTCAGTTGGGAGATTGAATCCATTAATCCGATAACAAATACAAGTGGAACCTAGAAAAACTAAAAGGAAAAAAAAGGGAAAATCCTATTCATGAGTTTTTCCAACTTTTTGGCTCAACATGTAAGATTTCACTGTAGCAGGTGCCGAAATAGCTCAGTTGGGAGAGCGTTAGATTGAAGATCTGAAGGTCCCTGTGTCAATCCCGGGTTTCGGCAATTATAAAAGACGTGCTATTTTGATCATAGCATCATGATAGCACCTTTGAAGAAACCACTGCCTCCAAGAAGCCCAAGCTCATTAATGCTGCTTGGCCAGTTTGTGGCAGTAATCATCTGGAAAAAACACAGCCACCAATGCAGCCTGGTTCCATGGTGTAATGGTTAGCACTCTGGACTCTGAATCCAGTGATCTGAGTTCAAATCTCAGTGGAACCTACCATGAGTTTACAATGGTGTCTTAATGAAACTTGACAAACTGTCTCAACAGAAGCTTTGCTTGCAAAAGTCTAGTTTCCCTGACCTTATTAACATTTTACAATTCTCTTCTTTGCTTTATTAGTCTGAACATTAGTCTGGAGCTCTGATGGTGGCAGGTTCCTGCTTGCTCTAAGAAGAAAATTCCAGTCGAGATGTAAATGGACCTTTTCTGATTTTTGTTGGATACTGTACTGATTTTGTGTGCATTGCCCAAAGCAACTCACTTGGGAGAAATTGAATCCATGGATCCGACATCAAATATCAGTGGAACCTAGAAAAAACTAAAGTTCAAATGAGTTCAAATCTCATTGGAACCTACCACTAGCTGACAATGATGTTTCTATGAAAGTAGACAAACTGTCTAAACAGAAGCTTAGCGTTGCAAAAGACTAGTTCAATTGTCCCAGACAAATGATAATGTGAATATGGTACAGTTCAGTTTTTTTGCTTTATATACTAGTGATTTTGTGTGCAATGGCCAAACAAACGCACTTTGGGAACTTTGAATCCAGTGATCCCATTTCACATCTCTTGTAAAGATGATTCTGTTGCCAATTCTCCTGAATGTGATCTGGGGCCAAGTCTGAATACTTTGGTCAATGATTTTGAGCCCACATTTGATTTTCCTGAAATAACATGGATGGGGAACATTAGTCTAGAGGTCGCCGGTGGCAGGTTGCCTGGTTGCTATATGAAGAAAATTCCTTTCAAGATGTAACTGGACCTTTTCTGATTTTTGTTGGATACAGTACTGATTTTGTGTGCATTGCCCAATACAACTCAGTTGGGAGATTGAATCCATTAATCCGATAACAAATACAAGTGGAACCTAGAAAAACTAAAAGGAAAAAAAGGAAAAATTCTATTCATGAGAGTTTTTCAAAATTTTTGGCTCAACATGTAAGATTTCACTGTAGCAGGTGCCGAAATAGCTCAGTTGGGAGGGCGTTAGATTGAAGATGTGAAGGTCCCTGGCTCAATCCCGGGTTTCGGCAATTATAAAAGACGTGCTATTTTGATCATAGCATCATGATAGCACCTTTGAAGAAACCACTGCCACCAAGAAGCCCAAGCTCATTAATGCTGCTTGGCCAGTTTGTGGCAGTAATCATCTGGAAAAAACACAGTCACAGTGCAGCCGGGTTCCATGGTGTAATGGTTAGCACTCTGGACTCTGAATCCAGTGATCTGAGTTCAAATCTCAGTGGAACCTACCATGAGTTTAAAATGGTGTCTTAATGAAAGTTGACAAACTGTCTCAACAGAATCTTTGCTTGCGAAAGTCTAGTTTCCCTGAAATTTTGTAACATTTTACAATTCTCTTCTTTGCTTTATTAGTCTGAACATTAGTCTGGATCTCTGATGGTGGCAGGTTCCTGCTTGCTCTAAGAAGAAAATTCCAGTCGAGATGTAAATGGACCTTTTCTGATTTTTGTTGGATACTGTACTGATTTTGTGTGCATTGCCCAAAGCAACTCACTTGGGAGAAATTGAATCCATGGATCTGACATCAAATATCAGTGGAACCTAGAAAAAACTAAAGTTCAAATGAGTTCAAATCTCATTGGAACCTACCACTAGCTGACAATGATGTTTCTATGAAAGCGGACAAACTGTCTAAACAAAAGCTTAGCGTTGCAAAAGGCTAGTTCAATTGTCCCAGACAAATGATAATGTGAATATGGTACAGTTCAGTTTTTTGCTTTATATACTAGTGATTTTGTGTGCAATGGCCAAACAAACGCACTTTGGGAACTTTGAATCCAGTGATCCCATTTCACATCTCTTGTAAAGATGATTCTGTTGCCAATTCTCCTGAATGTGATCTGGGGCCAAGTCTGAATTCTTTGGTCAATGATTTTGAGCCCACATTTGATTTTCCTGAAATAAAACATGGCTGGGAACATTGGTCTAGAGGTCTGACGGTGGCAGGTTGCTGGTTGCTATATGAAGAAAATTCCTTTCAAGATGTAAATGGACCTTTTCTGATTTTTGTTGGATACAGTACTGATTTTGTGTGCATTGCCCAATACAACTCAGTTGGGAGATTGAATCCATTAATCCGATAACAAATACAAGTGAAACCTAGAAAAACTAAAAGGAAAAAATGGGAAAATTATCTTCATGAGAGTTTTTCCAAATTTTTGGCTCAACATGTAAGATTTTGCTGTAGCAGGTGCCGAAATAGCTCAGTTGGGAGAGCGTTAGATTGAAGATCTGAAGGTCCCTGGCTCAATCCCGGGTTTCGGCAATTATAAAAGACGTGCTATTTTGATCATAGCATCATGATAGCACCTTTGAAGAAACCACTGCCTCCAAGAAGCCCAAGCTCATTAATGCTGCTTGGCCAGTTTGTGGCAGTAATCATCTGGAAAAAACACAGTCACCAATGCAGCCTGGTTCCATGGTGTAATGGTTGGCACTCCGCTCTGAATCCAGTGATCTGAGTTCAAATCTCAGTGGAACCTACCATGAGTTTACAATGTTGTCTTAATGAAAGTTGACAAACTGTCTCAACAGAATCTTTGCTTGCGAAAGTCTAGTTTCCCTGAAATTTTGTAACATTTTAAAATTCTCTTCTTTGCTTTATTAGTCTGAACATTAGTCTGGATCTCTGATGGTGGCAGGTTCCTGCTTGCTCTAAGAAGAAAATTCCAGTCGAGATGTAAATGGACCTTTTCTGATTTTTGTTGGATACTGTACTGATTTTGTGTGCATTGCCCAAAGCAACTCACTTGGGAGAAATTGAATCCATGGATCTGACATCAAATATCAGTGGAACCTAGAAAAAACTAAAGTTCAAATGAGTTCAAATCTCATTGGAACCTACCACTAGCTGACAATGATGTTTCTATGAAAGTAGACAAACTGTCTAAACAGAAGCTTAGCGTTGCAAAAGGCTAGTTCAATTGTCCCAGACAAATGATAATGTGAATATGGTACAGTTCAGTTTTTTGCTTTATATACTAGTGATTTTGTGTGCAATGGCCAAACAAACGCACTTTGGGAACTTTGAATCCAGTGATCCCATTTCACATCTCTTGTAAAGATGATTCTGTGCTAACCACTCCTGAATGTGATCTGGGGCCAAGTCTGAATTCTTTGGTCAATGATTTTGAGCCCACATTTGATTTTCCTGAAATAACATGGCTGGGGAACATTAGTCTAGAGGTCTGACGGTGGCAGGTTGCTGGTTGCTATATGAAGAAAATTCCTTTCAAGATGTAAATGGACCTTTTCTGATTTTTGTTGGATACAGTACTGATTTTGTGTGCATTGCCCAATACAACTCAGTTGGGGAGATTGAATCCATTAATCCCGATAACAAATACAAGTGAGGAACCTAGAAAAACTAAAAGGAAAAAAATGGGAAAATTCTATTCATGAGAGTTTTTCCAAATTTTTGGCTCAACATGTAAGATTTTGCTGCAGCAGGTGCCGAAATAGCTCAGTTGGGAGAGCGTTAGATTGAAGATCTGAAGGTCCCTGGCTCAATCCCGGGTTTCGGCAATTATAAAAGACGTGCTATTTTGATCATAGCATCATGATAGCACCTTTGAAGAAACCGCTGCCTCCAAGAAGCCCAAGCTCATTAATGCTGCTTGGCCAGTTTGTGGCAGTAATCATCTGGAAAAAACACTGCCACCAATGCAGCCTGGTTCCATGGTGTAATGGTTAGCACTCTGGACTCTGAATCCAGTGATCTGAGTTCAAATCTCAGTGGAACCTACCATGAGTTTACAATGGTGTCTTAATGAAAGTTGACAAACTGTCTCAACAGAAGCTTTGCTTGCAAAAGTCTAGTTTCCCTGAAATTCTTAACATTTTACAATTCTCTTCTTTGCATTATTAGTCTGAACATTAGTCTGGAGCTCTGATGGTGGCAGGTTCCTGCTTGCTCTAAGAAGAAAATTCCAGTCGAGATGTAAATGGACCTTTTCTGATTTTTGTTGGATACTGTACTGATTTTGTGTGCATTGCCCAAAGCAACTCACTTGGGAGAAATTGAATCCATGGATCCGACATCAAATATCAGTGGAACCTAGAAAAAACTAAAGTTCAAATGAGTTCAAATCTCATTGGAACCTACCACTAGCTGACAATGATGTTTCTATGAAAGTAGACAAACTGTCTAAACAGAAGCTTAGCGTTGCAAAAGGCTAGTTCAATTGTCCCAGACAAATGATAATGTGAATATGGTACAGTTCAGTTTTTTGCTTTATATACTAGTGATTTTGTGTGCAATGGCCAAACAAACGCACTTTGGGAACTTTGAATCCAGTGATCCCATTTCACATCTCTTGTAAAGATGATTCTGTTGCCAATTCTCCTGAATGTGATCTGGGGCCAAGTCTGAATTCTTTGGTCAATGATTTTGAGCCCACATTTGATTTTCCTGAAATAACATGGCTGGGGAACATTGGTCTAGAGGTCTGACGGTGGCAGGTTGCTGGTTGCTATATGAAGAAAATTCCTTTCAAGATGTAAATGGACCTTTTCAGATTTTTGTTGGATACAGTACTGATTTTGTGTGCATTGCCCAATACAACTCAGTTGGGAGATTGAATCCATTAATCCCATAACAAATACAAGTGAAACCTAGAAAAACTAAAAGGAAAAAAATGGGAAAATTCTATTCATGAGAGTTTTTCCAAATTTTTGGCTCAACATGTAAGATTTTGCTGTAGCAGGTGCCGAAATAGCTCAGTTGGGAGAGCGTTAGATTGAAGATCTGAAGGTCCCTGGCTCAATCCCGGGTTTCGGCAATTATAAAAGACGTGCTATTTTGATCATAGCATCATGATAGCACCTTTGAAGAAACCGGCTGCCTCCAAGAAATACCATGAGTTTACAATGGTGTCTTAATGAAAGTTGACACTGTCTCCAGAGCTTTGTTGCAAAAGTCTAGTTCTGAAAAACACACCTTTTTTTTTCTTTTGTTTGTGGCAGGTTTTTTTACGTCTAATGCAGCTGGTTCCATGGTGTAATGGTTAGCACTCTGGACTCTGAATCCAGTGATCTGAGTTCAAATCTCAGTGGAACGTACCATGAGTTTACAATGGTTTCTTAATGAAAGTTGACAAAGTGTCTCAACAGAAGCTTTGCTTGTAAAGGTCTAGTTTCCCTGAAAACTTTAACTTTTTACAATTCTCTTCTTTGCTTTATTAGTCTGAACATTAGTCTGGAGCTCTGATGGTGGCAGGTTCCTGCTTGCTCTAAGAAGAAAATTCCAGTCGAGATGTAAATGGACCTTTTCTGATTTTTGTTGGATACTGTACTGATTTTGTGTGCATTGCCCAAAGCAACTCACTTGGGAGAAATTGAATCCATGGATCCGACATCAAATATCAGTGGAACCTAGAAAAACTAAAGTTCAAATGAGTTCAAATCTCATTGGAACCTACCACTAGCTGACAATGATGTTTCTATGAAAGTAGACAAACTGTCTAAACAGAAGCTTAGCTTGTAAAAGGCTAGTTCAATTGTCCCAGACAAATGATAATGTGAATATGGTACAGTTCAGTTTTTTGCTTTATATACTAGTGATTTTGTGTGCAATGGCCAAACAAACGCACTTTGGGAACTTTGAATCCAGTGATCCCATTTGACATCTCTTGTAAAGATGGGACCTTTTCAGATTTTTGTTGGATACAGTACTTATTTTGTGTGCATTGCCCAATACAACTCAGTTGGGAGATTGAATCCATTAATCCCATAACAAATACAAGTGAAACCTAGAAAAACTAAAAGGAAAAAATGGGAAAATTCTATTCATGAGAGTTTTTCCAAATTTTTGGCTCAACTGTAAGATTTTGCTGCAGCAGGTGCGAAATAGCTCAGTTGGGAGAGCGTTAGACTGAAGATCTGAAGGTCCTGGCTCAATCCCGGTGTCGGCAATTATAAAAGGCGTGCTATTTTGATCATAGCATCATGATAGCACCTTTGAAGAAACCGCTGCCTCCAAGAAGCCCAAGCTCATTAATGCTGCTTGGCCAGTTTGTGGCAGTAATCATCTGGAAAAAACACAGACACAATGCAGCATAGTTCCATGGTGTAATGGTTAGCACTCTGGACTCTGAATCCAGTGATCTGAGTTCAAATCTCAGTGGAACCTGCCATGAGTTTACTATGGTGTCTTAATGAAAGTTGACAAACTGTCTCATCAGAAGCTTTGCTTGCAAAATTCTAGTTCTGCTGAAACTTTTAACATTTTACAATTCTCTTCTTTGCTTTATTAGTCTGAACATTCGTCTGGAGCTCTGATGGTGGCAGGTTCCTGCTTGCTCTAAGAAGAAAATTCCAGTCGAGATGTAAATGGACCTTTTCTGATTTTAGTTGGATACTGTACTGATTTTGTGCACATTGCCCAAAGCAACTCACTTGGGAGAAATTGAATCCATGCATCCGACATCAAATATCAGTGGAACCTAGAAAAAACTAAAGTTCAAATGAGTTCAAATCTCATTGGAACCTACCACTAGCTGACAATGATGTTTCTATGAAAGTAGACAAACTGTCTAAACAGAAGCTTAGCGTTGCAAAAGGCTAGTTCAATTGTCCCAGACAAATGATAATGTGAATATGGTACAGTTCAGTTTTTTGCTTTATATACTAGTGATTTTGTGTGCAATGGCCAAACAAACGCACTTTGGGAACTTTGAATCCAGTGATCCCATTTCACATCTCCTATAAAGATGATTCTGTTGCCAATTCTCCTGAATGTGATCTGGGGCCAAGTCTGAATTCTTTGGTCAATGATTTTGAGCCCACATTTGATTTTCCTGAAATAACATGGCTGGGGAACATTAGTCTAGAGGTCTGACGGTGGCAGGTTGCTGGTTGCTATATGAAGAAAATTCCTTTCAAGATGTAAATGGACCTTTTCAGATTTTTGTTTGATACAGTACTGATTTTGTGTGCATTGCCCAATACAACTCAGTTGAGAGATTTAATCCATTAATCCGATAACAAATACAAGTGGAACCTAGAAAAACTAAAAGGAAAAAAATGGGAAAATTCTATTCATGAGAGTTTTTCCAAATTTTTGGCTCAACATGTAAGATTTTGCTGTAGCAGGTGCCGAAATAGCTCAGTTGGGAGAGCGTTAGATTGAAGATCTGAAGGTCCCTGGCTCAATCCCGGGTTTCGGCAATTATGAAAGACGTGCTATTTTGATCATAGCATCAACCGCTCAGTTGGGAGAGCGTTAGATTGAAGATCTGAAGGTCCCTGGCTCAATCCCGGGTTTCGGCAATTATGAAAGACGTGCTATTTTGATCATAGCATCATGATAGCACCTTTGAAGAAACCGCTGCCTCCAAGAAGCCCAAGCTCATTAATGCTGCTTGGCCAGTTTGTGGCAGTAATCATCTGGAAAAAACACTGCCACCAATGCAGCCTGGTTCCATGGTGTAATGGTTAGCACTCTGGACTCTGAATCCAGTGATCTGAGTTCAAATCTCAGTGGAACCTACCATGAGTTTACAATGGTGTCTTAATGAAAGTTGACAAACTGTCTCAACAGAAGCTTTGCTTGCAAAAGTCTAGTTTCCCTGAAATTCTTAACATTTTACAATTCTCTTATTTGCATTATTAGTCTGAACATTAGTCTGGAGCTCTGATGGTGGCAGGTTCCTGCTTGCTCTAAGAAGAAAATTCCAGTCGAGATGTAAATGGACCTTTTCTGATTTTTGTTGGATACTGTACTGATTTTGTGTGCATTGCCCAAAGCAACTCACTTGGGAGAAATTGAATCCATGGATCCGACATCAAATATCAGTGGAACCTAGAAAAAACTAAAGTTCAAATGAGTTCAAATCTCATTGGAACCTACCACTAGCTGACAATGATGTTTCTATGAAAGTAGACAAACTGTCTAAACAGAAGCTTAGCGTTGCAAAAGGCTAGTTCAATTGTCCCAGACAAATGATAATGTGAATATGGTACAGTTCAGTTTTTTTGCTTTATATACTAGTGATTTTGTGTGCAATGGCCAAACAAACGCACTTTGGGAACTTTGAATCCAGTGATCCCATTTCACATCTCTTGTAAAGATGATTCTGTTGCCAATTCTCCTGAATGTGATCATTAACACATACCAAGTTTTTATGGTCTATAAATTCCTCTATTACTGATCCATTTATATCTGTGTTCTTACTCCCCAATATTGTGCTGTGTGCATAAGATCCCCACACCATACGATTTTCCCTTGTGTCACCCCACATACTGCATTCAGTGCATCAGTGCTCAGTCTATTACAGGGATTCTAAAAGTTGACTTTCATTATACTGTCTTTTCCTGTCCATATTCTGACTACCACAGATTCATGTTCTTTCCCTTTATTGATTCGGTTATTGATATTTCACATCATTTCTTACAAAACTTGCTACCCCTCCACCTTTACCCGTTCCCCTATCGTTTCTGATTGTAGTATATCCATAAATTACAAAGTCTAACTGTGGTTTTAACCACGTCTCTGGCACACATATTACAAAAGCTGTCGCATTTCTCCCCATTTCTAGTTGTTTTAAGATGTTCTGCTTCTAGTATTTTCCCCCCTGAGATATTGTCTTTTATTTGTTCCTCTAGAACACCTGTATGTATCCCTGAGATGACTCCTCGAACCCATTTTTATATCCAATCAGCGAACAGTGACCTCTCTTACCATCTATTTTATTCAGTTGCATGGCTTTCCCTTGCTGGGCTTCATTTCTACAACTAATCAGTAGAGGTCCACTTCGCAAAATTTGAGCACTTTTGACCTCACCCAGTAGTTTGTCTATCGATTTTGTTACCTGAACCGGACTAGACTCACCAAACGTTTTCCCTTCTTGAGAGAACTTTATAATTACTTTCATACTCATCATACTCTTCCTGTTTTGTTGCTAAGCTAACACTATGCTCGCTATCTGTTTCTTCTGTGTTAGATATTCTCTTTTCATTTTTTTTTCCGTATTCTTGATCATACTACGTTCCATACACTCCTATCTCTCCCACCATCTTCTTCAAATCCCATTTCACTTCCTGGTTCGTCACTTCCTTCTGCCGTCTCCTGCCCACTCCAGCCAACCAGAGCCTCGTGTCCAGATCTGAACTATGCGCGGGGAACTGACGTCACATCAAAATGCACCAATTAGAGCCAGGTTGCGTCACGCGTTTAATGGAGCATCACGAGGTGTCGATGGAGTCACAGCGCCATCACGTGCTCAGATACGAGCATACAGCAGTTTCATTCACTTACTCTTTGCCTGTTTGGGTCCGCTCTAACGCTCAGGATTCTAAAAGCCCGCAAATAACTTCCTGGAGTCTACATGAATCACGTGACGATCAAGCGTTTTAAACTCCCGGTGGCGCAACTCTCTCCCCGGGACACTAGTGTAAATTGTCCGATACCGCCATCTGTTGGTTTGGAAGAGAACGTTGCTTTGCCGCATTTGTGTGAGAGCCGCTTTCTGGGGGATACAAAAAAAAAACTTTAAGACAGAATAAAATGTTGGTGTCATACTTTAACTTCCTCTGTGAAATTACCCATTGTAACGTATTAAAAATGCATTTATGGTTAGATTTATAATAATAACAGCAGTAGCAATAACAACCCTATAGTTTTTTTTTCATAGTTTCTTATGTTTTAATAAATGTATTTTATTCAGCTTAATTCTTTACATGTATTTAAAGTTGACCTGTTTTGCAATTTTTTTAATGTACAGAATTATAAAAACTTTGAGTCTGTAAACTCAGAAATGCTGTCAATTTCAACAGCAGGAAGTAAAAAGGTCTTACCCATTAACACACTATGCCAATGTTGAAAGAAATTCCAGAAATGATGAGGAAGAAGGTGATTGAAATACATCAGTCTGGGAAGGGTTACACAGCTATTTCAAAGGCTCTGGGTCTCCAAAGAACCACATTGAGAACCATTATCTATCCATACATCCATCTTCTACTGCTTACACCTTCTTCAGGGTCGTGGGGATCCTGGAACCTATCTCAGGAAGCATCGGGCACAAGGCGGGGTACACCCTGGACAGGGTACCAGTCCATCACAGGGCATAATCACATACACACTCACACATACACTATTGACAATTTGGAAAAACCCAGCGCGGTAGTGAACCTTCCCAGAAGTGTCAGAGCTTCTACAATTCTTCCAAGAGCACAGCAACTACTCAACCAGGAAGTGACAAAAGAGTCAAGGCCAACATCAAAGGAACTACAGGCATCTCTTGCATCAATAAAGGTAACTGTTCATGACTCCACTATCAGAAAGACACAGGGCAAAAATGGCATCCATGGAAGTGTGGCGAGATGAAAAACGCTAACCCAGATGAACATTAAGGCTCATCTTTATTCTGCCAAAACACACCTTGATGATCTTCAAACCTTTTGGGAGAATGTTCTATGGACTGATGAGTTGGAAGACAGGGTCATGTTACAGCTGGAGTAAACCAAACACAGAATTCCACAAAAAGAACATCATACCTATGGTCAAGCATGGTGGAGGAAGTGTAACGCTGTGGGGATGCATTGCTGCTTCAGGGTCTGGGCAACTTGCAATAATTGAGGGAAACATGGTATTCTGTTCTCTACTAGAAAATCCTAAAGGAGAATGTCCGTTCATCATTCCGTAAGTTGAAACTCAATCACAACTGGATTATGCAGCAAGAAAAAAATTACATATACATGGACAGCAGTAATCTAATTACTGACCTTATTCTGAGTAAGACAATATTGTGATTAAGGTGTTTACATGAGTCGCTTTTAGAATACTCCTTTCATGTACCCGTTTTACATGTTATAGAACATAATTAGATTAACGGCACGTCATTACGTCACCGCGCCACGCCGTCCAACGTCCCTCAAGAATTTCACGTATCAACATACAGTTCGTCTTCATTAT